TGTAGAACAATCTCGAGGCGTCCATCTCTCAACCTTCAGGTATCCACTGATTTCACAGCAAAAATTTCTGGTCAATAACAGCATGAATCGTATAGCTCTGGGTGAATATATTCGGGGCGACGTAAAACGTGCCGTCTGCAATCCAGCTGCTACCATGCCAGCGTAGCAAGGTTCCGGGCTGTAGAGAAGGCAACGACTCGTACATTCCGATCTGTCTTCCCGCCGAAGATAACAAAGGGCTGGTCCCGTCTCGTGGAGGTGCATGTAGAAGGAAGGAGGAATTCTTCTGAGGTCTTCGCTTCAGAGTGCTGTGCAGATCCGGACGCCTTGGCTCTACTGCCTTGGGCTGTTCAGCAGCTTTCCGCTTCAGTGCATGCTCGGCTCACATCCTTGGATACGAGAACCAGCCCCTTTTGGACCTGGTTCACGTCCATTATGTGAACACATGCCGAGAGCTCAAACACTTCTCAAACACAACTACTTACTAAACTGTCATGTGAATAATATGGATCACATCACAAATGATACGTCACTGATTGGGCCATGTCATGTGATACCTAGCTGTGGGAGGCCGGAATGAGAGGTTCCTAGTTGTCGGTCACCGCTAAGTTCTAACACTAAAGTTCGCTAGGTAGATTCGCTACTGTCCAATTGTTTAAATTTTGTTGTTTCTAGCGGAGTAAAGTCTAAGTCATAGGTACCGCACTCTAGTTCGGAAAATGATGTTTTGTTAAACAAATCGAAGCGGTTACTGTTAGGTAGGTAGTCGTACTCGTACACAGTTATAATTAACAAGTTAACATCAACTAAAGTTTAATTGGATTTGGTAAATATAAACACACTTTAACTTTGAGCGTGTGTTTTAGACCTCATTATAACCGGCATTAGTGCAATAATTCGTACTGTGGTTTGATATTTGAAACGGGATGAAGTTTAGATTTTTAACTGCTAACACTATAAAAGTAATCTTTCGCACTACACTGACTACAGTATGTGTCGCACTACAATCCAGGTAGCGTACTCTATTATATTCAGTGCGACACAATATCCTATCTTATTTCCAAGTTCAGGTCAGATCCTATCCTTCTTTTGGATCATAAACTCATCAAGTGATTCGTCAGGCCGGTTTACGTTACTTATTTCGAAGTGATCTTGTGGACGCGATTCGTCGGTCACGTTATGTATTTTGATCCACTGATCATAATTCCTTCGGGTCAGTTCAATCCACGTATACAGTATGTGATCCACTGCAGAGTCGTAAGCAGCATATGATCCTAATTCCTATCACAAATGAAGTTATGTAAAATATAAGGTGGCAAAGATTTTCCTAAGAAAGCGTACCTAGATTTAACTCTCCCGCAAATAAATTATAAGGCGGCAAATATTATGCTAAGAAAGCGTAGATTTAACTCTCCCGCAAATAAATTATAAGGTGGCGAATATTTTGCTAAGAAAGCGTAGATTTAACTCTCGCGCAAATAAATTATAAGGTGGCGAATATTTTGCTAAGAAAGCGTAGATTTAACTCTCGCGCAAATAAATTATAAGGAGGCGAATATTTTGCTAAGAATGCGAAGATTTCATTCTCGCGTAAACAAACTAAAAAGAAGCGTGCAGCGCGCGTCTGACCGTTTGGCAAATATTTTGCTAAGAATGCGCATTTTCCTAACGTAAAATTCGCCTCCTTATGAAATATTTGCATCATCACGCGCAGCCTGGCAAATACATCATAACACGGCGCATATTTTGCTAAGATGGCAAATATTTCGTTAGCGCGGCAATTATTTGCGTAACATGGCAATGTTGCAACCCGGGAGGGGGCTTTTAAGACAAAACATATTACATGTCAGGATTCATCAGAAGTTCAGAAGCCTAGCGATTATAAAATTCAGATAACATTACTGATTACTCTTTTATGCCGTGGGAGTAAATTAGCAGGACACAGTTTGCCCCGGCTTGTAGTCTAAATTTACATTTTAAATTTACATTTAATTACCTCATTGCTAGAATTCATTCCTTAAAACAAATTTTCCAAGAATTGTTCCAGTTTCTCCCTCCTTGCATTTGTACCCTCTTTGAGAGTGAGACCTATTACTGTAAGCATATTTTTCAAAATTTGCAGGACTTTTCCTTTTACCCTTAATTAAATTGGCACAACAAAATCTTTGTGGATTTATCATTTCACATTGCTAGATTTCAATTCTGGAATCAAATTTCCTGAAATTTTTCCGAGAGAATACCTTTTTCGAACTACACTTATTTCGCAAGAGCTGCTTGCAGGCCCTAAAATGCATTTTAAATCATATTATTTTAATCGTACTTGAAACTGTGTTTGAAAATGATCTCTATTACCAAATTGCTCAGCTTGGCCTTTTACACGCTTTGCTGTTTTTTAAATTCAGGCTGTGGCCAAAGCGCGTGCTAAATTTGAAAAACTCTAAAATTTTGGCCCCCTCATGAAGAAAATCATGCCTACACCCATGGACATAGGTGACTAAAACCTGCACTGAATAATGATTTGTTGTTTTCAGTATTACCTAATACCTATGGAGCTGCCTACATCACTAGACACTATTATGTCAAGGTGTAACATCTCTCCTACTATTGCACTGCACACCACTACACCACTCCTCACGTCTTTTCCGTGACATGTCTACATTTCTGACATGCTCATCTCTCACGATCCATTCATCATCAGCTCACTCCGATCAATCATGTGACCCTGAAACCTCGTCACGTGACCCTGAAACCTCGTCACGTGACCCTGAAACCTTGTCACGTGACCCTGAAACCTCGTCACGTGACCCTGAAACCTCGTCACGTGACCCTGAAACCTCGTCACGAATGACATCACCGCTGTTACTTACGCACACTTTCTGACAGCAAGTTTTTGTGTTCAACAATGCAAGGGGTAATAGGCTATTTAAGAAGCAATTAAATACCTTAATAATCCTAAAAAGGATCGGGTATTTAACGAAAACAGCTGAGCAACATAACTTGCTGATGTAAAACAAATCGGAGCCTGGGTGACTACGCGACCTCTGTACACATCGGTAACGCCAACTGATTTAGGTCTCTCTCTCTTCACAGAGGATGTTGGCGCCATTTAAATTAAAACATCTCTTTATTTACGATAAAGCAATATCACTGAAATATGTAATGTTTTATTCACATGTACATGAGTGTGTTGATGATGGCGAGTGGGAGTGTTATGGGGCCTGTAAATATTGTAGTCATCACTGTGAGACGTGTATAATAGAGAAAAGTGGGTGAATTTCCTCTCTTTATTTCAGCAAACCAACTAAAATTCATCAAATCTTCTGAAAATACAAATTACGGGTTTAAACCCGAATATGTTGAATTTGTCTTATACATAACTCCAGCCCGCTACCCTAGGAGGGTACAGATTCGAAGATATGGGAGTGTTAGAGATTTCTATAATAAAGCTACTCTAAGTGAATTAGTTTCTATAATCTTATGATAAAATTAATTAAGTGTCCAGTCCATGATAATCTGCACACTAAACATCATAACGTGCCCGCCCCGACAATCTTTACACTTAAAAACTACACATTGTAAAAACAGAGACACTACACATACGTTACACACAGTTTACTGTATAGTTTCACATTGGTGGTAGCCACTGAATATTACATGTACTGAATATATCACACCAAGTGTACAGCATACATGATTAATCAAGATGTAATACAACTTGGACAGTTCACTTGCACTATAATATATTGGACTTGTGTAGTGTGTTATTTATTTAATCAGGAGGGAGGTATCTACGCATGCCAGCTGATTAGATCCTGTAGTGGCAATATTGCTTGTAGTTTTATAAGAGTGCGCTGTTTTATTAACGGCTACCCAAAATATCCGGGCGGGAATGTTTATTTATTTGTACAGCTTATCGAAATTTGAGCTAAATTGAAATGTAACAATAGGAGTCGTTATGACGCAGGGATGGTAACAGGTGAATGTATATCCACATATCCTCATAATATAATATATACTGATTATTGGGGGGTTTGATTTCCCAGATAATATTAACCGATACATAATTGGTAATGAATTGCAAGCGATAGGTACTGGCAATTCAGGAGTCGGCATGAAAATACCCAGTCGGAGCCAAGTTTCGCGATAAGAATAAAGAAATGTTCTGCCGTCTCGCTTTACACTACACGAGAATACTCAATACTGAATTGTAGTTTTTATAGTACTCGAATCCCCGCCAAATCGTAGTGTTGAGAAGTATCCTCTGGTCTAACTTGTAAGATAGTAAATATAATTTAAGAAGAAACAGTATTGTTCCAAAATTAGAATAGATCCTTGTAATGAATATTCCGTTTATTCTTAATAGAATCGGTCTGTTTTTACTGATCTAGACATTAAATTAGACATCCTAGAAAGTACCATACCGGTTAGGCTTAACAACCAACCGATTATTTGACCATTACTTTGATATATTTCAATTGAGATACATAATTTAATAATGGAGCGCCAGTTTTACAATCTCTCTCTCTCCTCTGATCTTAGTAAAAGTGTAGGAGAGAGTATTGTGACAGATTGGTATAGTGACACCACAATTCTTCATTAGTTACATGTAGTGACGAGATGTGAAGTAGTATGTTAACTTAATATAAAAGCATGGCTTGTTTTTATTTATTATAGTGGATCTAGTGTACTCTGCTTATTTATATTTATTGTTGTACGTAGGACTTGATATCTTCTCATTCTACAGTCATGACTCATGAGATCCGTATTGAAAATAGGACGTCGTTACGTAAACCAATAAATTCACTGTGTACCTATTGACTGTTATTTCTAAGGCAACAATAAAATTCAGGACAAATATATGTAAAATATTCAAGACATCCACACAAAAGAATCAAATTAATTAGCATACAATATCGAATCCCTCATGTCTGATCAAATTATTAAAGCAATATTAAACATATCTTTCTTTAACCATACATATCAAGCTGAACAATACGCACCTTATCAGCAATAGATCCTTGCAGTATATTCCGGATAATGACTCCAGATTTGCCGGAGATGCCAATCCCAATACCCTTGCCGTGGTTGGGTAGGACGATGTACTCGGTGGATCCCAAGCTTTGTACGGAGAGAGGTAAACTCTCCACTGACTCCCGGTAATAGTCCTTGTTTACGGAGCTGAGGTATGCGATGGGTGTGATAAGTAACAGGTTACTCAACATGACAATGTTGTTAAGCGCAGTTAGTGGTTTCTTTTCTTCTAGAAGCAATTGAAAGTAGTATTAAAGAATTCCTCTCACGAAATCAATGACAAAGAAAATTAAATAAATATAATAGATTTCACTATATATATTTCACTAATGCTGGTAAAGTAAGGTGTACCTGTGACTACTGATTGAGCTGGTAAGGGAAGTCCTGGTATCTGGTCTACTTTGTACTGGAGGTGTCTCGTACCTACAGAGGGAGCTGGTATCAGATACCATCTTAAGGGGGGGGGGGGGGCGGGGGCCGGGGGGTAGATACCACCTTAAGTAACACTTCAGATACGGCAGAAGGAGATACTATCCTAATTAAAAAGTGAAACTACAAAGGAAACAGCCTAATAAGATATCTACAATAGTAGTACCTAGTAAATTAAACAAACCTTCGTTCGTAACCATGTGATCCAGGTGAGCCGTGCTCGTATCTACTAGAACTAGGCTCGTATCTAGGCGAGAGTGAGGAGCGGGTTGTGGGGTCACTCTCCGAGGAGGAGTGAGTTAGAGCTACTTCGTGCGAGGAACTTGTTGACATACTGTCCCCCACTGATCCTGTGTAGTGTGGTATTGAGATTAGTGTAGTGTAGTAGTGTGTTGTGTGTTATTGTAGTGTGAGATTGAGATTAGTGTAGTGTAGTACTGTGTTATTGTAGTGTGGTATTGAGATTAGTGTAGTGTAGTAGTGTGTTATTGTAGTGTGGTATTGAGATTAGTGTAGTGTAGTAGTGTGTTATTGTAGTGTGGTATTGAGATTAGTGTAGTGTAGTAGTGTGTTATTGTAGTGTGGTATTGAGATTAGTGTAGTGTAGTAGTGTGTTGTGTGTTATTGTAGTGTGAGATTGAGATTAGTGTAGTGTAGTAGTGTGTTGTGTGTTATTGTAGTGTGGTAACGAGAGATTGTTGCTGCCACGCTTTATATTATTATTATTGATTATTAGTGGTTAACAATGTTGAGGTTTAAAACGATTGTTTTGATGTGCTCTCGTCTATTGTAATAAATATGTCGCAGAAAAAGAGAAGGAACACTAATTTGAAGAAGTAACTATGTTGTGAAACACTCATTTTTTTACTACACTGTAAAGTGTAAAACAGCTGAGATTTTTCATTTGCACTAGAAGCAGCTGGCTACCTAAATTTAAGATGAAAAGGAAGAAGAATTTTAACAACAAAAAAATCGACCGCTTTGTTGTCCAGAGGTTAGAGTGACTTACCACGAAATAAAATTGCAAACTCAAATTTCTTTCGCCAGGAGCTCATGTCATTTAATGAAAGTATTTTTATCAACTGTAATGTTTTCATAACTAAACACATTTGATAATGCGTCACAGTAGTAAGTTACATTTCAACTCTCATTACATTTCTTGCGACATATAATTATCGCATACACTTAAGTCATGGCATGCCGGACTAATAAAATAAAGAAACTGCCCGACTTTAATTTATTTAAAATTCAGACTAAAATAATTAAACTAGTAAATTTATGGAAAATTATAAGACAATTGTGACATATGAGACTTTGCTAGAGCAACTTTTTCACGGATTGATACGCTCTGGCGACTATCATAATGGATAACTTAGAGTGAAATGTGGTTAGCTATCGGTTGATGCGATTATGAGGCATCTTTAAATATGTTCGCCCCCGGCCCCAGTTAGTTTCATATGACCTAAAATATTACAAACAACGAAATGCCATTCTAGAGATTCTTTCTTTAGATTTCGTTTAGACGATAGATCACAATTTACTATATTAATTCTTGACAGCTCAACTAGTGTAATCCATACTTCATGTTGAAAGTTAGAAATCGTGTCATAATTTTTTACTTAGCCTCTTTTTAGACGAGTCTAAACGATCAATTAACAAAATCAAATATAAGCAATTCTTGCGAGAAATATGATGAAAAACAGATAGTTTAAAAATTAAACAAGAATTTCGCCGCGGTTAAACCACGCACGATCAATTTTCCCTACCATGTACCATGTACTTGTACCATTAATTCTTTTGCGTGAAAAGTGTGACTGGAAAAAAGTGCACCATATTTACAAAGTTGAAAAGTTATCCAAGCGTATTGAACACCAGCGGTGGAAAATGTTTGGACACATTCTCAGGAGTATGGAGAACACCCCAGCCCAAACGGCTCTCTCATTTGCTATTGAATCAGATAATTTATTCATTGGAAGATTGGGGAGACCTAGAATGAACTTGTTATCGGTTTTAAGAAGTGATTTAAATTGTAGAAGTTTGCAAATGGACAACTCGTATGAATTGAACGAAATTAAAGATATAGCTGCATGCAACAGATGTTGGGAAAATCTTTTTCAAGGGTACAGTTTACCGCATTAAGGTATTTTTAAGAATCATTTTTGTCGGTAAGATCCTGTTTTATAATAATAATAATATTTACATACTATGTTGTTTATAAATGAGTGGGATTCGTGCATGGTAAAAATTGACGATTTATTTGACCAATGCAGCGCCGCGCATCAACAATAAATGAATCCAGAAAATTGCGGAAAATAACTTTGCGAAGGAGGAATTTCGCTGTAATTAATTAACACATGGCTAGTGTCGCGCGCAGCATAACAGACGCTTCCTATACACATAATTATAGGGGAGTGGTCTATATTTCAAAGGAGCAGACTTTTGTCATCATCGCAGGTCCATCGGGCCACCTCATATATCCAAACCCGATTACTTATTCCCTACGATCTTTTTGCCTTCGGCAAGAGTAGGGAAAAAATTAAAAAGGATGAGAACACTCACCGACAGAAATGTTTCTGTGTCCGTTTTTCCTGGAGTCTGTTTGTGCATCGCTGCGCATGTCAGCGCGCAGGTTGCCGCGCAGCGTACTGTCACACCCTGTATTACTCATACCACTGTGGGAGGTGAGTGTTAACATTATTGGAAACATGCCCGACAAAAGGGAAATTGTATAATGTATAACTTAATTCAGAATTACATGGCTCGGCTACACGAACACAACTAATTTCGGCTTATCAAAGCAAAGAGGCAACACGGTTTATAAGGTATGCGTTTGTAGAGTTAGTTTATAGACACGCGGATAGATAATAAGGTTGTAACAATAAAACGGACTTGATCAGAAGCTTAAAGTGTGTTTTTTGTATTGAATCTTTGGCTCGCTACATGACACATTAGAGTTTTAATATGAGGAACAAGGATTCTAGCTAGTTCATTACACAGTACTTGAAAACGGTAGGGAACCTCGCCATCATTAATCAAATTTCTATTATCTGTCCTTTATTAAGCACGACGTGACAAATGCTAAAATACCGCCTTCAAAAGAGTCAACTCATCGGCAGGTTTCAACTTCAAAGGTCCACAATTTGGACCTCTTTATTAACAAAAAGATTATAACCGAGTTTTAAGAGGTGTTGGAGTCGGTTTATCGGACCAGGATTTCTAACACTTCTGATAACTCTGGGAACAATATTTTTTTCGTTTAACCCTCAATCACGGATAAGATATCCAGGTTTTGAACAATAAAAATGGCCCAAAATGAATCCTTAATGAATTGTATGGATTGCCCAGATCTCCGTTTATGGATCTGAAATCTGAATCCATGATTAATTTTTTCTCCTTCACCAGGTGGAAATTGATTTTCATTGCGTATTGAAACAGATCTAATACTTTCTACTTCGTCTACTGACATATTAGTAACAGTCAGTGCTGTAGTAGTGAGTAGAAACAAATTAAGATAAATGCTTAAAAATTAGCAAGCAGAAAGTATCATGTCTTCCTCAACAACTCATCAATTTACAAGTTTTTCTAATTGCATGCCATCGTCTGATCTATTCAGCTCGACTACGTAACTCACCGCTCAAAATATGCAGATAAAAAAGTGAGCTCGGATAAATGTCGCCTAAAAGCTTAAATAGATAAACGTGTACAATGTTTAAGTATTTATTATCTGCCAGGCTTTTAAAGTGCCAATACTGGTTTTAGGAGCGGTACAATACAATACCGCATCATGTGAGCAACTGTAGACTGATTTACAAGATGACGTAATGAGAGGAGGTGAAAATAGCGTCACAAAGAGTAAATAGAGAAGACACAGTAATTGATTTAGACAGATAAGAGTTGCTTGTTAGATAACGAGTGGAACATGCCCGGCTCTCTCTGCGTTTTTATTTTAAAATTTGAATTGTAAAATAAGGATATCCACCTTTCTGAGTGACATGACGCTGTGATTGTGCTAGAATCATCTAAGCTGAGTGCTGAGTGTCTCACACAGAAGATGAACTTTGGTTATCGACTAAATTAAGTATTCTAGAAAGCCACAAACTCACATTTTAAAAGAGGGTTTCCATGTTAAAAACTTGAAAAAGTAACCTTGAATGTTTCTAATAAATAGAAAGCTACTCATTGCGGTGGGATTTTAATATTTTACCGTTAAAGTATTATATAATGGTGATCATTCTGTTTATATAATCCGAGGACACGACCCACCGCACAGGACACTATTCACCACACAGCATGGCAACAAGTTCAAATGTGAAACATTTAAATGCAACATTATTATATATACGGTGAAGGTTTACAAGTTTCCCGCTTTAGGTTTTTAAACCTTGCGTAATTAGTATAACATAATAATATACAACTATTTACCACACAAAAAATAACGAAATACCAACAAAAAGTCAATAATTACCAAGTTCAACAATATCTGTTGTGACCAATTTGAGGTCTTATAAATGATTTTACGTAATTTTTCCAGTAATTTCGTTAATATTATAATTTTTGGACGGAATAGTTGATGCACCTTTTACAAACAAGAGCCACTTTGGTATACTCGCTGTGTTCCTTAGCAACAAGGGTTAGGGATATCCCTTTTTTCTCCTTTTTACTTGTCTGAATATTTAGTTGTTACTAACTTGTTTCTGTAGATGGTTGAGGAGGCCTCGCTGCAGTTAGAGAGAGTCCCAGGAGAACTGAAGGACAGATCCAGAGCTAACTTGTAACTGTTGTCTAGTGCCTGGGAAACATTGTGCTGTATACTGGTTAGAGTGGAGCTTGTAGGGTAACGGGGGGAGGGTGGGGGGGGGGGGTAACCGGGGGGGGGGATACGGGGGGGGGGGTAACCTTATAGATACTTGTGGGAAGTTGAATAACAATGTTACAATACGCTAATCAACAGAGCAAAGCCCCAGTACCACTATTAAGTGTCATAACAAGTGTATTTCATCTCCCAGCCAGATATTACAGCCAGATATTACATGTTTGAAAAGTTTAGAATAGTGCAATGAATAATATTTTCATACAAATTTACACATAATATCTGTATAATGTGAGAGAGAATGAGAGCAACAGGTGCAGACTAACAACTAAAATCTAACTGAGCTCCACTCTATAATATCACGTGTAATATCATGTGTAATATAACGTGTAATATCACGTGTAATACCACGTGTAATATCACGTGTAATATCACGTGTAATATCACGTGTAATATCACGTGACTACACTTCACGTGACTGCACTGTATACTATCACCTGCTTCTGTTTGCATTTTACACTGCAGAATAGCTAACTAGATACAAATGTGAGCCACAATATGCATTATGCATACTCCGCTATTTTTCATATTTATACAGTTGTAACGAATGAGCCGGAAGAACTGTTTACCGATAAACCCTGGTCTAAATACCCAAATAGAAACCAGCGCACTCAATACATGTAATAACTTTCATGTCAATTTGTTTGGGTACAGCCATAGTCCGTACCCACAATAATTTATACATTTTCAGAGTGCATGTATCCTTGGGAGCTGAGGTTACTCGTTGATAAGTGGATAAAAAACATGGTGTGTTAACGGTCATGGTATTGGTACATTCACAGTACTAAAACAATTATCTGTATCTCCAGTCTCCCATACACTTTTCGTTTCAATTATGTGTTTCTAGAACCTGTTCCAGTACAATATACCTGCGCTTATACACACTAAAAGTATAGAATATAAATCTAAGCTTAATGTATGTGTGTTGAATTAAGAGTCATTACCCCCGACGCACAGCCCCTATTACATTTTATCTTTTCAGTCAAGTCAAGTCTCGACGTGAAAATATTGACGGCAACATCTTTGTGGTTATGAAGTAGAGATAAGATAATTTGACAAGGTAGAAACACCCATTGTTTCACAGGAGTGGATATCATGTTATAATGCACTGTTCCCATATTTAAAAGTTTTAAGTAACAACTAGTAATATTTTATAACTTAATACAGTCAAAAATTACTTTAGGGTAAGTTTGAGATCATAATTTAATACAGTTAGATAACAGGCTTATTATCAGGTGACCTCTTAATATTGTGACATTATACGATTATGTAAGGCGTGTCATATTGGAGCAAGGAAATGTACTGGAAGTACAAGTAAATTATTTGGGTTGTGTTACAGAGTTACAGGGACTACAATCTTACAATCTACATGTAGAAACTGCAGAGGGGTTCTAGAACTTTTCTTTATAATATTACTATATTATTATTATTCTCTTCTAGAATGAAATTTGTTTGGATAGACAGTGAGACTTTCTCAGGAACACCGAACTGAGTAATTTAATTTTAAAAGTTTGAATGTTTTATTAACATTACTTTATTAATATTGGTCATTAATTCTCGGTTCTTCTTTAATAAACCAATCACCATTATTTATTGAAAAACCAAAAGTATCTGCTACCTCGTCAAGCGTAACTATGGCGCGTGGATCATATTGGAACAATTCCAAAACAAAACCCAACTCCTTAGGTGCGAGTTACGCGTAATTTGATAACACGGCTCAGTTCAGGTACAGTTAAAAGTGTGTAATATAATTTACTAACGATTTGATGAGCGTTATTATATACCAGCTGGCGTACAAGTTACAACGTATGTGGACATTACATTTTTTAAACTTCACTTTTGACATTGTTCAGTTTGGTAGGGAGCGGTCACGGCTCTCTGCAGACAAAGTGAAACAAGGCAAAAAAGCAAGGTTTGAAATACGGCTGATCATGAATATGATGATCAAAAGTTTTGTCAAGAAAGTTTTAAGATAATTAAGAATGTATGTGATTAATTTATTTTATTACAAAGGTTGATTGTATTTAAATAAGTCTCACATTGCATCTAAGTAAAATTAATCTTAGTGAAAGGCCAATCAGTGCCGAAATATCGATTATTCTCATTTATTTTTCACCAGTCATCTATCTATCTTGTTTCACTTTGTCTGTCGAGAGCTGTGATGCTCCCTACTAAACACTGTCTTGTTAAAAACTCGCGCTCTGCCTCACGAGATCTATCTTAAATTTTAAAAGAAATGAACCAGATCACGATGTTGGAATGTTCTGGACATTCTATTCCCTCAGAAATTACATCTACCCAGAGAACTCTCATAAATCTCAAGTTCTGATATGAGTTCCGCTGAATGGTCACCCAACTTGGCACCTACCAATGACCGTTACAACCCAACCTTCAACCAGACCAAACCCCACTAACACTACAAATACCCGCCACAGAAGCATGCAGTTTCCCTGAACCTTAATTACCTGAAAACTCACTGAATGCTCGGTAGAAAATACCCTTTATTCTCCTGAAACGTGCCGAATATATTAGACTGATGGGGCAGCAGAAAACAGTGAATCACACTAAAAGGATAACCATGGTTACCGGGCTTTGGCGGAGAGGATCGGTTTACTAATTATTTGTATTGGAATGGGGGTAGTGTGATGTGGGGATGTTGGAGTACCGGGCTGCTTCCCCCTACACTCCTTATATGGGCATCACGTGGATAACAATACTTCCCACCAACCCACAACTAAGACAAGGAGGATACGGCAACACTGGAACTGTAGATTATTCTATTGATAGAGCCAGTCCTGATTCTTTGGACCCCATAGCTGGAAACCTATTACTGCCGGTATTGAAACCGGGAAATACGGAGCTAGTTGAGGTTTGTACTTGTCTCCGCGGGAAATGGGGACTAGTTTGACTAGACTGTGAAGTGTTAACTTAATTTTGGACCAAGTCCAAATCATTAACCATGACGGGAAGAAACACTCATCTTGGCTCTACTAGAGGTAAAAAGTGGTAACTTACCGGTGATTGCAGTGGGCTGTTCCTATCGTAGGTAGTTTCGGGACAACCTTTACCGTCAAAATTAACATGAGCTACAGTTAACTCTATCTCTTTCTCCTTTTTCAGCAGCTGGATAATCTGAAAATTTTCAAATTAAGATGAGAATACATCCTTATAATTTGTAGATAAAATATACATAGATAAATTATAAGATTCTTGTTTATCTGTAACTCTGTATCATATTAATATGAGTACATCAGATTGGAAACAACCCATGACAGAGTATCCATGAATGAGTAAATGTTGTTAGTTGTTATTGTCAACAACAACAACAACAACAAAGCAAATGATACTTGTTCCAACTGTCCAAGAAAAGCTTGTCTCTTGTCATATGATACGATGAGCAAGCACACTATGTTAAATTGTTAACAGCACATCGGGGTCAGAAATTCTTAATAATCACTAATCAGGTTATTTCTGGTTATTTGTGCTTGCTTCTTTTAAATCTTTACTAGTTAAAAAAGGTATCATTTGGTGGAAAAGATGGCAAAGGTGTCCCTGGTAGTAAGGGTGTATTGGTATTATTACAGTGCATTCTTACGGTATAACGTCATTAGTCTCCCTAGCTGTTCTATCACTGTTATATAGCTGTTCTATCACATAATATACTGCCTGTCATGCTGAATACAGTTCTATGAGGCGCTGCAGGCTTAGATGCACTGAGTATGCCACTACTGTGTATTCTGATCGTTTTTACCCTTTTCATTAAAGTTGGCACCTGTGGACTTCCTCCGTGTTAACTATTTGTAAGAACACGATTCTACCAGAGGTTTTCTAAATAACGACAAATCTTTTATCTGTCGATGGACACTGGAGGTACGGTTCGTATAAAACCGTAGATTAAACTTAAAACATTACATATATTATTTCGAAAATGTTTCGGCAGAACCTGAGATTCACTACGGGCTTAATGAACTTTGAATAGCTATCCTCGCTGCAATTGTATTGGTATAAAGCTGTGACATGTTGTAAATTTGAAAGCTATCGAGAAAACTCGCAGAACTAGAAGTCATTGTTTTTATATCAAATTGCTCTGCTTATTTCTCAATAACATGTATTTTGTATAATTATTATAATAATGTAAACAATAAACATAATAATATTTAGTAGTCCCTTGATCAATTTCAGCAAATATTAGGCTCGTTCAATGAGGTTCTACATTGAACACAGGTCATTGGGATGTAATTTAAATTCCATTATATGAACAAGAACGAGACAGTTTAGTGTAAAATATTGTACAAAATATATATAGTTATATCTACAGAAATGTAAAGCCTCTTACAAGTATAGGACAATGGTTGAGTGAAGGAAACACAACTATGTGTGATAAGGTGTGATAATGTGTAATTGATGTGGTGTGATTCTCACCCCGTTTTGATTGAGGGTAGCCCCAACATTCGTACCGTTCACAGACACTACCCTGTCTCCTTCCTGCATCTTCCCGCTCCTGAAAAAATAAAACTGATTTTAAAAGTTTTTTGAGGTATTATATAAAATTATCAATTTGGCGCACTGAGATACCGTTGTTTACCTTGGGGCATTTTAATAAACAGAAGAATATTTATATGAACCCACCTTGATGAGTAATGAGTATGCTATAAATATTTGGCGTACAATATTGGGTTAGATCACCAAAAAAGGAAAAGATTTACGATAATTAGATATCGGGCATAGCTATACTTTGTATATGGGTTGGAGTCTTTCCAGTCAAGAATGTGACGATACTAAGAAGAAGTGTAACATAACTTCGTTAAGACAGTGTAGGACGTTTACTTTTCCCGGGTGTAAGCTTGTTTGTAATTGCATAACCTCGTTATTGATAGATCTGACTATAAGACATAAGTGATGTATCTGCAAATTACAGTTCTAGGACCTGAGTTATATGACAACAAGGTCATAAGACATTGTGTGCAGTGATATAATAGCTTACAATACTCTTATCGTGTTTAGTAAAAGAATATATTTTAGGTCGTGTAAGTGAGATTAAAATATTGCGATTTTAGTAGGAGCTTCAAGAACATACTAAATCCCTAAATTAAATATTGCGTTATTTTCGAGTAAGTAAAGTGTTAATTAATTATATAATGGTGTTAATCCCGCATTAAGATGTCTGCTCACTCTGCTCACTTCATCTCCATGCTGCACTGACTTTTGAGGTAATAAAGTAATTACAAATTACGGTTTATCGTCCTTTATTAGATTACAATGTTAGAGATTGATAACACAACGATTGAGCTGAGCGAGCTCCAATCGTCGGTTCAGTACACCTTAAAGAGGTCCGCAACCTGAAAATAACCCTGATGAATACTTGACGGGGGCATTATTTTAACCCCACTAATGCCGCAGTCAGCCGTACCCAGGCAGCTCTGAGGTACTAATCAGGGTTCAAGCACTTTAATGCGGGCAGGTCGTGTCCTTGTAATCACCACATTACTTCTAACTTGACAGACTGATGGGAAAGTGAGCTCCAACTCACGGACTCTCTATCCTGGGTTCACTGTACAGGACCCTCTAGCTGGCTCTCTGCTCTCTGTACTCAATTGTGTAGATTAAAATACCGGGCCCAGTAGTGTGGTTATTACTTGTTGTGAGCTCCTGTTTGCACGCAAGAGTGCAGGTGGTGTAGCGGAGGCAGGTAAGTGTTTTAAACCTGTTCCTATGTTAAAAGGTTGTGTTAAATTTTTTAAATAAATCCTTGTGTTTAAAATAAAGTAGGGAACTGACGCGCTAGCAGGAGAGTAAGGTTGGAGTCTCCTCACGTATACACTCCTATCAATAGTAACCAGGGAGAAGCCGAACCCGGAACCCATCTGTTTGGTGAGGTGGACGGACTGGACTGGTTCCTGATCACGTGTCTTTATACTCCGCCATGACAGGTGATCCGGCTCATCGTCTGAGAGAGAGTAGTGAGTAGTGAGTAGTGAGTAGTGAGTAGTGAGTAGTGAGTAGTGAGTAGTGAGTAGTGAGTAGTGAGTAGTGAGTAGTGAGTAGTGAGTAGTGAGTAGTGAGTAGTGAGTAGTGAGTAGTGAGTAGTGAGTAGTGAGTAGTGAGTAGTTACTTAATTGGGTTACTTGGGTTGGGTTCCGAGCTAGAGTGCTACCAGGCCAAGAATGTCTTGTGAGTAGTGAGTAGTGAGTAGTGAGTAGTGAGTAGTGAGTAGTGAGTAGTGAGTAGTGAGTAGTGAGTAGTGAGTAATGAGTAGTGAGTAGTGAGTAGTGAGTAGTGAGTAGTGAGTAGTGAGTAGTGAGTAGTGAGTAGTGAGTAGTGAGTAGTGAGTAGTGAGTAGTGAGTAGTGTGTAGTGAGCAGTGTGGTCTCCAGATTTATACTTGAAATATGGACAGTGGACACACTGGAACTTACAGTGTATATCTGTTGTTATCACTGTTTCTAACCAGGGTTCACAAAGAAAGGAATTATAATGACTACCTAATTTCAGCTCCAGCACCTACAAAACCCTACAAAGAGAGGTAAAACTGACCAGGGACGATGTCAGCAGCGGCAGCACAGTTGAGTATAAGTAACCTGTCCCTGACATTTGTTGGGGTTGCCCAGGTCAGAGCACTGTCAAACTCACGTACTAGACCCTGTGGAGTAATTAGAACACTGTTAGTTTCAGTTATATAATGTTGTTATAATATTTATCTAAAAAGGATGTGAGGTTTTACTGGGTGTAAGTCAGGGTAATAGACAGTTGGAAGAGTAAATTATTTCAGTCATTAGCACGGGCGAGTAGGTGATTTCAAAAATTCATCCAACAATTTGTGGACATTTTCACACAATAGTCTGGGGCAACGACTGAAGCAGCATTTCATTAGGCATTACAACTAAAAAATCTGCTGGTTGTGGGGTTACTGGCAAATAAAAAGATGGAATTGGTCAGAAACCGAGCTACCCACAGCGTACATCGCCTAGCAACCCAACCACATTTAACTTCATTTACACATCTCGGAGGGGCAAATACTAGTCAGTAGTATTATCTCTGTTTTATTAGGAATCATGACTGGCAATGACTAGCTTGGCTACGTTAAGAAGAGACAAATCCGACTAAAGTCTAAAATACGAGGCTGACCAGTATCAGACCCAGTTTGTTGGTGAGGCTACCTATGAGCTGGAACAGACCTACTCTTAGTTCACTTGAAGCCTATTATCATTTCACGGGTAGCACATATACAGGTCACTCTCTCACTCTCTCTGAGGGGTCTAGACTGATCTAATAAATTAATTAAGATGTGTATGTTGGGAGCACTTGTCCGCACAATATGTGGTAGACTTGCAAAGGAGAAGGCCCAGAAACGGATCGTAATATATACCTCATGTTACACCAGATTATTTTGTCTTTTAATCCAGGGTTATGTTATACTTCCAAGTTTATGTGGGTATTTAATGACTGGAGGGTAATTTGATCCACAGGAGAGTTTAAATTTTCGTAAAAACATTACAGCAAGTTTCGTTTTATCACATTGTCAGAGTTTGATTCAAGACATAACAGTATATTATTTGAAATAAGATACTTAAATTTGAACCACACAAAACAGCACTGGCAGTTGTCTGTCCATCTTAATTAAATTATTTGCTCTTAAATGCGATTATAATTGAAAACAATGCCACTTAAATTGACATAGATTGCTCAACGAATACACATGATTACAAATCATGAACAATATTCACACGACAGACAATAAAGTGAGTTAGATCACAATGAAGTGCAACAAACCTGAGGCCCCGCCTCATTAAGATAATCCTGCAACAATCCCCCCTCCATTAGTTTCAATGCATTGCTGCTGGGTCTCCCACCATAACAACCATCTTTAGACTTATGGTAGTGCGCCTCCAGCATTTGAGAAACTATTTGAGCTGAAAAATGAGTTCCATCATTGGAGTTATACTTCAAGACGAATAATCTGAATTAAGGAATCTATAGTGATCTAATGTAATTAGTTTCTAGATCATAGTTTCCCCTTTTTTAGGATTAGATCGATGGATACTCTAACCCAGCTATAACGTTCAGGTAGCATCTCGATTGAGAATTAAAGGCGCCCAAACATTGAAAACCAGCTGAGACTTATTGTTTGGGATTCTTACATAGTTTTCACTGTTCCAGAGAGGTCGGGACTTCTTTGAAGTGGGGCTAGTGTTGACCAGGTGGCCTCCCAATCCATTACATTAAATGTGAGCTTTAGGTATTGAATGCTATGTCCTTAAGCGGATTATGGTATTACTGGGCAGGGAGTTCAGGCTCAGGTTACATTGGCATGTTCTTGACATGAACTAACACACGTAGTCCAGTAGAAACAGCTTAAGCTTGTAAACAACGTATGCAAAGCCGAAATTTGACCGAATTGTCTAAGAGCATTTATATCGTACAGAAGAAGAAAGTTGGGGAATAATATGGAATAGATGATTAGTGAATAATGATACACTCGTTTCAAGCTTCAAATATAAGGTAAAGTAATTATAAACTTTAATCATAAAGGATTTGTGTGCTTTATGATATTTTTATTTGTACTGTAAGCAACTCCGACATGGTTAGCTACCTTTCTTATGTTGGTATGTTAATTATATGAACAGGATTCAAATACCTCCCATAACAGTATAAATATCATAATATTAACAAATGAATATTACCTGTGCCGTGAGACATTGTAGTGTTCAATATTTTTCTCAAGCTTCACAAGCTCTGAATAACATCCTAAAAACAATAATAGTTATTTATACTATATTCAACTTGACGAAAACTTTACACAATTCAAACTGATAGTGGTCAAGGCCAAGTGTTGCCATATGATGAAAAGAGATATGAAATTACTGAATTTTTTACAACAGGTTTCTAGTATACTTATATAGTAGAGGCTCTAATTAAAGATCCATAATCCTTAGGAGTCATGTGCTATAAATGTATGTGGTGCTCTAGAAAGACAATCTTTTCGAGATTTGACCAGCAAATCTTCTAACATCACCTAATTTGTCCAATTTTACCTTGCATCTGATCCAAGTCCGATGGCACGGATCACCTGGAAGTGGTAACACCATAAAGCCGTTAATTGCAACAAGGGGTGCGCTGTTCAATGAAACAAGAAATTTTTTCAATGAAACAAGAAATTTAACCAGGCCAGGTAGCGTAGTTGGTTAGAGCATCAGCTTTGCAATCGTGAGGTTGTGTGTTCAAACCTGCTGTCTACCTAGTCGTGAGGTGAGCGTCGTTGACGTTCTGCTAAGGATCCCATAGGATCTATGCAGCCTCCCGGTTCACCCAGCCGAATGCTCGAGAAATCGTGTGTGAGGGTTAAATGGGGAGCTGTGCAATAGTACAGCGAAAAGCAAAAACTCAATGGATGGTTACCGTTGTCAGCCTATTTTATATTACCTTTAGGTTATTCTATGTAATACAGTTCATTGTAAGTTGTTCCTCATTCATTACCTGGTTTCATTGAATAAGTGCAATTACAAGAACCTCACACCGTAATGGGTGCCACATGCCTAGCATGAAATATTTACCTACTTACTTGCACTTTTGTAGGTCTGTAGAAGCATTAGAATCGGGCGTTGCCTGCCACAGGCTATCCCGAATTTAGAAGCTTGCTTTAATAATTAATAAAGAAGATTAATAAAAGATAACTTTTAGAACATTTTACAGAATAAAAAGATGTAAAACAATTCATAAAAATATAAGGCCCATTTGGTCTTTTTGTCCTGGACTGCTAGTTTGATTTTGAAAGGACAGGTAACTATGGGGCAAGGAATGTGCGTGCCTGAAAGCTTTTGCACACACCGAAACGCTAGTACAGTTGAGTTTTTAGAGACAAGGCTCATATTAGGATCAGAAGAGAATTTTTAGCAGACATTAGGGGTTTTGTTACTATTGGTTGCAGTCTTTTTGTGACAAAAACTCTACATTATAATATGCTTAAGTTTAGATTGTATAGTTCGAGGATATAAAATGAGGCTTCAAGGTGGAAATTGGTGAGCTTGCGAAAGATTATGGCCTTTGTATAAATGGTTATAATAGGCTATATACTATGCGTTTTGCTCTAGAAACACACTTTTTAGAGATTTTACCAGCGTATCCACTAAAATCACCTAATTTGTTCAATTTTTGGAAGGGGTTAGGTGCCAAAAGGGAGGTAGGCGCCAACAGAGCAGAGGGCGATTTTTCGGGGGGCGCGCCAACAGACAACATTATACCGCTAAACCGATCTTTGGGTCAAAAATACGTCTATTTAGATGGGTCTGATGTATCGAACAGATAATCCTTGTGGAATATGGTTAGTACAATAGTGCAGTGAATGTTGCAATGAATAAAATCCATCGATGTAGGAAGATTGTGAGGAGGGGGATTTGTTGTGACAACTTGTTAGTGAAAATTTTGCGCTTTTATCTCTGATATTGGAATACGAAACATGTATCAAATCATGATAGCCTAAGGTCCCCAGGTAAATAAAATTAAAAAGTTTAGGGGGCAATGTCATTTGTATTACGTGGTGACCCCCACTGTCGCTTCACTTTAGTAAAGGTTCGACGATACAGGGGGAGTCCTGCACTCGTGCGCGGCGGGTCATACAACGTATGATTTACTGGGCGGCGCTCAGCCTGTCATTCCGCCCAATCTTTATTCGGGCTGAGTGAATTACGACCTCCATCGCCTTACTTGACCATTGTTAATGGTCTGGCCCGGCGCGCGCTACTTCGTAGCACTTGCCATCGGGCAGAAAGCGGCGCGCGCTACTTCGAAGAAATTTAGACGAGTAACATCCGTCAATCGCCTTACCTGAGGACCCCAGGCTTTAATGTTGTTAAACAACAATAGAGATTAGGCGGAATGACATGCTGAGCGCGGCTTGCTCTAGCTAGAGCCCTCTCGCTTGCAGTAGCGCGCGACCGCTGAAGGCGGCAAAGGATCTACTTGTGAAACAAGCGCGTCACGCAGTACAAGAAAACAACAATTTCAAGAAAACAACAATTTTATTTAGTATCAATTAAAGCAGACAAAAGTATATTTTCTATATATATAACTAGCACGAACTTTAGATCAGATATCTTAGGGGACTTGGAGTAGCAAGAGATTGACTAGAAGGTATATACCTTTTACAAAGATACGTCGAGAAGAATCCAGGGTGATACAGGATCGGAGAGTGCAGACCAAAAGTTTACGCACCCACCTTTGCCTCCTGAGTTCTTGGTTGGATAGAAATTTAAGCAAACTTGGTCGTTTATACTCCAAGTCCCTTTCTTAAAAGAAGTAGTATTAACTATGTCTAGAGTTAGCTTCGTTCAATAATAACAATATCAATATAATCAATATCAATACCAGATAAACCTACCGAATAAATTATTAAATATCAATCAATTAATTCATTCCGATAAAAAATTTTATAAATTTAGATATTTAGTATCTAAAAACATTACAACAGATGGTTAAAAAGCGCCCAAAATCGATTTGAAAGATTTTCTGTCTATAGTACAATCATGATAGTAATAGTAAGTGTGCGCCGCTGCAATTAGACTTGATTACTGCAATTTAAAATTGTTTGGAGTCCAAGTATCTTTTAAGTCAGCTGCCTGTGCTTGTATTAATAGTGCTTTTGTTCTCAGTTTTATCAAGCTAATGGACGTTTCTAAGCAATTGCTTGAAGTTAAAATTTTTTTATGAACAGCGTTCCAAAGCTTGGCTGCATTAAACAAAAAGGTATTTGATTTATTTAGGAGAATAACCGTGAGACTCGTTGCACGGTTTGAAATGTTGATAGTCTCATAAAGGGAGTATGGGCAGTGGTACTTGATAATCTTAGAAAATTCTAAGATGCAGTGATATTTGTACAATACAAGTTTTGAGCCGTAAGTATTTTTAATCTATTAAAAATGGGTTTTGTATGTTCCTTTTCAAAGTGTTTATGGTCTAGTTTTTGCATACCGTATGGTCTAGTACGTGCACATGTTGATTGTTTATCTAAATATGCGTAGACACTCTCTCTCTTTGTTCTGGTCAACGGTTTCTGGCCTCTTACGATAAAGATGGAGGCCTTCTCGCCGTGCCCACAAAATGTAACTCCTGCTAGCTGCATTCCAGGACTCCCAAAGTATATACGAAATCATAAAATAATAAATATCAATGCAACAGACCTCTGGAGTCTTGAAGCTGTCACTACCTGTCTCAGAGCAAACCTTCACCTAACCATGTGCTTTCGCGCCACTGCGGGCGCGCTTGTTTCACAAGTCAAGAGGCGGGCGCGCGCTACTGCAAGCGCAAGGGCTCTGGATAGAGCAAGAGCAAACCCACTTCGGTTGTGGTACTTCGGCATTCGGTGGGCAGACAAGGGACTTCTTGACATACGTTGCATGCCACTTTTTGCGTGCGAAGCGCGCGCCGCCGAAGGATACGAAACATGTATCAAGGGACTTCCGAGCCAGGTCATCTCCTGGAATTGGTGCTATTATTAGTTTTCCTGGGAGTGGGTTATTTCCTGATGTTGTTTTCCTGAAATTGTGTTATTTCCTGGTGTTAAATCCTAGTAGTTTACCCAAAGAGATCTTCCTTGTCTAGTCTTTTTGACTGTTCCACAAACTTTATGATGTGGTTGAGTTTACTGTTGATAATTTCCTCCATTGTGAGTAGAGGTTTACCAAATATCCTCAGTCTGATAGTCATCAGCTGTACACATTCGCAGAGGAAATGTTGTAATGTTTCTGCTTCCCCTGGGCAGTGTTCGCAGTCTTGTGTCTCAAAGTTGACGTTATTGGCCCTAGTCTGAAAGTAAGCTAGTGGGCTGTGCCCCGATAGTAGCCATGTTAGCCATCTGAGGTGAGTTCCTGTGATATTAATATTCCTGTATTTGTATTTGTTAAAGAATAGTCCAAGAGGGATTTTCCCTTTATCACTGCATGAGGTCGACCTGTCGGTATGCGTTGAGGTGTAGTTTGAATAGGTACTCATCGATTGCGTTGTTGATGATTCCTTCAGGTAGTGGGAGGAATGGTTCAGGTCCTATGGGGATACTGCTGGATCCCTCTCTTGCGAGTTCGTCGGCAAGTTCGTTACCGTGTACTCCTTCGTGTCCTGGGACCCACCTAAATTCTACTCGGTGGGAGGTACCTAATGTATTAAGTTGGTCTACGATGTCCAGTACTATTCTGGATACGCGTAGACACATGGCTATGTGAAGAGCGCGGCCCAGTAACCATCGCCCTGAAAAAAGTGTGAATGCTCATTGGATGTTAAAGCGCACGTCACTAGCATTCACGTGATCGTTCAGAACCAATTACAGCCGCGCAAAAGATCACGTGCACGCCAACTACCAATTAGACAGAAGTGACATATGCGCTACAAGAGCCGCGCGCTGAGTTAGATTGTAAAATCTGATTATTTGATTGTAAAATCGCATAAACGCGCCTACATGCGCGTTTTAGAGGGTTCAATTACACCAGGCTATGTTTATGAACATAATAGCCTGGGGTCTCCAGGTTATTGTCATATGTTGTATGACCCGCTGCGTACGATTGCGCGGCTCCCCCTGTATCGTAGAAACTATATAGTGAAGCGACAGTGGGGGTCACCACGTAATACAAACGTATGACAAGTGACAAGATGTCATCAGAATTTTGAAAATATGTATTGCTTACACTTTATTGCAGTTAGCAATTTTAAAAAAGACTGGGTAACACACACCCACGGTGCATGTACGGATGATGTTTAATTTAATA